TGCTTGAGTACAGTGTTTGCTTGCAGTTCAAGCAATTCCATCTGTAGTTCAGGTGCAACGTCGTCCACTCGCACTGAGAAGGGCAAAGAAAAAAGTTTAAATTCTCTTGACAGGTTGCTCACGTCCTGGAACCGTTCTTGGAATTATTGTTGGAGATCACGCAGGAGGTCCGAAAAGGTGTTGCACGATTCTTGGTTCGCGTGCCCTAGTGGCTGGAGGGTCGGAAATGGTTGAGTTTGAGCAGACTCATTTGGCACTCCCAGAGCTGTAACTTCGATTGAAATGCCTGGATGTCATCATACATTGGCGTAATGAGATTGTCCTTCCCCTGAAGTTTCCCATTCAGACGGTTCAGGTACTCAGTGATATCCGTGAGGAATGCGAGGGAGCAAAGCCAGCTGGGGTCGGACAGTTCAGCAACGGCCTTGTTTTTACTTTTTAAAAAGGTATCAATCTCGTGTCGAAGATCAAAAAACCTCTTCAGAACTTTCCCGTGACTCAGCCACCGTACCTCAGTGTGGTACAAAATTTTGCTGTGCTCGCTGCCAACCATCTCCAACAGGGGTACAAACTGTCGATGGTTTAACACTCTGGAGCGAATGAAGTTTACCGCACCAAACACAATGTCCATGACTCCTTTCATCTGCAGTGACTTGCTGCAGAGTGCCTCTTGGTGTAAAATGCAGTGGACTGCTGCAAACCGCTTGCTGACATCCAGTCCACTGAGTTTCGTCCTCAATCGTCCGACAAGGCCGCTTTTCTTTCCCACCATTGACGGTGCGCCGTCGATTGCGAGGCACACCAACTTCTCCCATGGCAGCCCGGCACGATCAACCACTTTTTCGAGGGCGGAAGCAATATCGGCGCCTGTGGTTGTTCCTTTCATTGGCACTAGGTTCAAGAGTTCTTCTGTGACGTCCAAATCTTTGTTTATGCCCCTTACGAAAATGGCGCACTGAGCGTTGTCAGTAATATCAGTGCTCTCGGCAACGGCGATTGAGAATGCGTTGAAGCCGTTGCATCGGGTGAATAATTCTTTCTCGACGTTTTCACTGAGTTCATTAATTCTTTCTGCCACTGTGTTTGGGGAAAGGCTTATCTTCTCAAATGTCTTCTTGATGCTCGGACAGACAGCGTCAGCAACCTGAAGCAGGCACTTTTTTATGAACAGGCCATCCGTGAATGGTTTGGACGATTTAGCGATAAGCTCGGAAACAATAAAGCTAGCTCTCACCGGTTTCGTCGCTTGTTTTGACCGCCTTTTGGAAGAGGTCTTGTTGTTTTCCCAGCGACGCCTTAAGTTGGGGCACCGTGTTCTTGCGAATCTTTCCGGTGAGGGCTCCATACTTCTTTTGGTGGCACGACATGAAGTGACGTCGCACATTATATTCCTTTGGCACAGCTATAGTCTGATGACAAATTAAGCACAACACCTTGTCTCGCGATTCCGTGAAGAAATAGGATAGTTCCCATCGCTCTTGAAAGAGCCGCTTCTCGTCTTCAACTTTCCGTTTTGCAGACGGCTTGGAGAACGACATCGAGATGTCCACTTGAGAGTTGACGTTGCAAGACTGAATCGTTGAAACAGAACGCAACAACCTGTGCTGACCAGTGAAAATCTCGGGTGCACAACGCCAACGTCGGCCGAAGATCACTCTGGGAGTGGAGAGGGGGTGACCGCATTGGGAGTAAAATGCTTTTCCAAGACCTTGAGCGGAAGCATACAACGATGGAATCCACCAGTTTCGACTGGGATAAACTTGGGTGCAAAGGATAAGTGAAGTGACAATGAACACAAAGGGGAGATTGGAAGAACCCAACGCTTTGACGAGGTTATACTCCGTTCACCCCTAAGCTGACAGTGCGCTAGAGGCTACGTGTTCGCCGGACCAGTCTTATCGCTTGACCTCTTTCAACGCACAGGAGTGCGTGGAGAGGGGAGTGGTCACATGTTTCAAGGCCGACAGTTGAGTGGTCCAGCGAGCGTGCAGCTTCCACCGCACTGTCAGCTTAGAGGTGAACGGAGTATAGGAAGAAGGTGGGGTGGAATGGAGGGGGAGATTAGTTACCCCGCATACGCCATCCGCATGTGTGAAGGTGTGGACCAGGATTATAGAAGGCTATGCTTCGACGCTTTGCGCCAAGGACTCTTGGAAGCCCTTTGCCGACGCCTCGGCTACTCCGTCCGGTCCGGCTATCTATTTTTAACCAAAAGCGGCCCTCTCTCTTGACACCGCGCTCTACGTTTGCATCATGTATCCTGGCATATGGTCAAAGTTTAACAGCTTGGATTTTTTTTTAGCAAGCTTTTTGCACACTCGGGGTGAGCGCAAGTGAAAACAATATAAAAAAAAGCCAAAGTTAAATAAAAAAAAAAAAATTTCACTTATGCCTGGTTGTGCGGGCCGCAAAAAAACGCCGCGCGGGCCGCATGCGGCCCGCGGGCCGCGTGTTTGAGACCCCTGCTTTAACTAAAGCAGAAACTTGCCGAGTTTTCGTCAGATACACTAGAAAAAAAAACCCAAAAACTACGCGAACATGTCTCATCTGGTCAAATTGCTCGATCACAGTGCTTGCACGCAACCTACTGTCTCATGGAAGCAGTTCACCAAATGACAAGGCCTAAAACCCCTCCCGTTCTTGATACCGTGACCTCCGTTCGAAATCGGGATGCCGATTCAAACACCTTTGCCCTAATCTCTAAGATGACAAACTTTATTGAAACTAAAACAAACAAACTTTAAAAGTGATATGCTAAAATTCATGAGAAGAAAAAAAGGGAAAAGTGCCCGAAATTTAGGCGATATACGAAAACGGACAAATACGACACCAATCCGCAGAAAAGTTCAGAAGTCCGTGGCGAGGCTGGTGCCGAATACCTTGAGGAGGTCCTGGAGGTCCTGTGTGAGTAGACTACGAAGTCCCCCCACAGCTGCCCGGAGAGTGCCATCTGCCCAAGTATCTGACGGTAATGCTTATGGTTCCTGTTTAGCCGGTATACACCTGCAGTGCCCTTCGTCCAGTGGCGGTCCCAGACATTAGTTTTAGGGGGGGCGAAATTGCTGCTTAAATAACAAAAAAAAAGAGACGTCACACTTTTTTGTGAATAAAGATTTTTTTTATTAGTCCCACTGTTTGCAAGTCGGAAATGCGCAACATGGAAACCTTTGCTTGCTATACAGTGTAGACCGCATATAACGTATGTCGCGGGAGTCACGAAAATCCGCACTATAAGCGGTACCGCGTTATAACCAAAACATCAATTTTTCAGGCCAAAATACATGCCATGAGACAACTTACCATTGTAAATCAAAATTATTTTATATTAGATTAAAAATAAAGCTTAGTTTTAGGAAAGTCTTTATTTCACCAGACTAGTACACTTCTCTCTCAAGTGTGTCACACATTTTGAAAGAAATGAGCGACTTTTGTCTAGCGCAGCCTTTTAACGGCGTTGCGGGTTGCGGATGGACGTTGCGAGCGTTCAGGATTGCTAACCCTAATCACTTTTCTCCGGTGATGAAAACGCGTGAAAATTCACATCCTTTATATGGTACGCGCATGAAATGCTCAAAAAAAGGCATGAAATGCGCATATGAAATGCTCCAAATAAGAAATCCGGGCGATGTTCGAAAACACAAATGCTGAGAAAGCACCACCGTAGTCGAAGTAAACAAACACGACGACACGGGCGTTTCTGCTGTCTTGAGAGTGCCGCCACGAGTAGGTGGATCTTCCCTTCCAGTACGTGCTGGGTTATCATAGCGACACACAATGAAAATTCACAGTCGAGGATAGCGCTTTTACGCGGAACGATGAGCTTCCACCACGCCGTCTACGTCGACGATCACCACGGACGCCATGTTTGTGGATAGAAGCAGCCGGCCCGCGACCGGCATGCAATGCGCGCGAATGGCTGGTTGGGCTCGCCAACTCCTTGCGCTGTGAACGACACTTGCGTGCGTCCCTCCGTCGCTATGGCAACTGAAGCCTCTCTCTTCGCTTCTTCGAGCAACCTCCTTGCCCCGCAAACAGACAGACCAGACAGACAGACGACCGGCTTTGATTATTTCTGCATAAATATTTTTCATGTCACTTTCGAATAATTGTAAAGATTTACGTTTACCGAATCTCAATATTATTTCCATAACCAACCAAGAAATATACTTTAAAGATTTTGGCTTATTTTTAACGTACTTATTCCAATACACGGGCGTTATAAATTGGTATTGTAAAGTTTTCATGTGTTCTTCTAATACCGTCAATTCGTCAGGTACGCCTAATGCGAAATAATTTGTCTTGTGTCGTCTTCTGCGGATACTCCGATGGTAGACATGTAGTCTAATGTATATTGGTTCAAGTTGATCGAGCTTACGTTGAATTGTACCACACTGGCGTCTATTTTAGACCAGGTGGTGAACAATCTCTCGAAAAATGCAGCATCCATCTCCGACTCTAAATGTTGGCAGTAGTGCATGACATAAATTAAAGATCGGTTTTCCAACGGTATTGATACCATCATTTCTGAAAACACCCAGAGCGATTTGTAATTATTACTGTTTTGCCACATATTAATACACGCTTGACGCTGATGAAATCTGGGTACATAATTTACTATCGCTAACCTGTCTTGAAGGTGTTTTATGTTTTTTGTGTAGACGTCATTCAAGCCCACACCAAAACGCATCAAGACTTTACCGAATTCAAAGAACTTGCTATCATATTCTTCGTGTTTCTTTTCACAATTTTTTGCCTGTTTCAAAAGCTCTTTGGCCACACTCATGGATTTATTGTATAATGGATATTTTTCCAAATACAATTTTGCGTATAAACTCAAAATGTCCGCCGAACGTTGCCATAAAAATACAATAATATATATTATTGGCATAGCCTCGTTATCGTAATTGTGTGCGAAAAAACAACGTAAGAATTCGGGCGTAATGTTCTTTTTACGCATCTCTAAATAAGCGACAATACTTTCGATCGTTGTGGTCATGTTTTTATTTATTTTTGAAAAAATTAGATAAGTCCTCCACGATGGCTGTGCTGTTGCGCTGGTGAATTGATTGCTGCTTCTCAATGCACTTGATCCAGTCGGACATCCCCATCCAAATTTCATTCTGGAAGAAACGATGATCCACGAGGAGTATGAGGCCCCACTCTTTAGAATGACGAATACAACGACCCACTGCTTGGTTGACTGCACGCATGGCTTGTATCTGGTACCAATGCCGTCCGTCGAGAAGTTGTGGTTGTCGAGCGTCGTTGAACTTCATCTTTAAATGCACGTCCTCCTGTTGCGTCGATGGAAACGGAATGCCTATAGAGATCACGGCACGGGCTAAGTTGTCGCTAAAATCGATTCCTTCACTTATGCGTCCGCGATGCACAGCACACATTAGAGACGCTTCACCGCAGGCGATGGATTCGATGTAGCCATTGATGGTGTTGCGCAGCGGGTCTTCGACGTAGATGCAACCGTTCGTCTCTCGCATGAGAGACTTCCAAACGTCGTCCATCGCCGTCTTCCAAATTTCGATACATTTCGACATTGCTTGATAAGACGGAAAAAAACAGAGAACTCCACCACCACAAGCGCCAACTTCGCCAAGTTTCATAGTTTGACACACACTAGTTAACAATTCTCCAATTTCGGAAACTATGCGAATGTCGTTGTATGCATTATAGGTAAGCCTCAAAGACCTTTTATCGTTCAGTGAATGTGAAATTCGTTTTATGAGCACATTTTCTGGTGGAACGACGTGATTTCCAATTATTTTATGTTTAAATTTTAAACCAAGCTCCGTCTCGTACGAAGTCGTGGGAGATAGAGTACCCGAAGCCAAAACTATAGTGCGAGTGTTCTTTGCAACAGATTCCATTGCATAACGAGAATCGAGGCAAATGACTCTAAATTTGTCACCAGAGACTACGACCCTAAATCCTTCGGAATCATACTCTGTTATGAGATTAATGTTTGCCGTAAATTTGTCCATGAAGCGAATAATTTTTTCGTCCTTTGCCGGAGGTATGACATCTACGGTTATGTACTTACGAAGTAGTTCCAAATATTCAGTTCCTGTCATAACGTAATCTCTGTCTCTTTGTGAGCGCAATTTAATTTGCTTTATCATTTTGAGCAAATTAACAAACATAATGTATATGGCAGAGCCAGGTTGCACGCTATGTTTGAAATTTTCCATCCTACTACACGAAGCTTCGAAAGAAAAACTCTCGCGACAAACATTTTCAATGTTGTCAATGTTCAAAAGTATACGAGCCTTCTTCGTATAATTTACGTTAGTATAATAAGGACAAATCTTTAAAGTAGAACATTGATTTACTAAATCTTCCATATCGATGATTGAGGACGCAGATTTCGGGTGCTCTACTTTACCAATATTCGCAAAATACATACAAGATTTCTTTTTCACGGTATTACAGACGCATGCCATGTTACCCATTCCATGAGGATTCTTGTAAAGACATAACTTTTCCTTGCCCATGAGCCTTGTAGTGTTAATCGTAGAATCCACCTGTCGAACGGTGTTTGTAATTTGATCGAGTTGCTCGTGAGTCCGAGAACAGAAATACACGACGCTAGTGGTCGGATTCTTCGAAATCCAGCACCTCGCTGCATTGATAAAGGCTAATGACTTGCCCGATCCCGTCGGCGAATCTATCAATACATTTTCTTTCTTCTCCAATGCTTTTAGTATCGTGGTAAGTATTTTCATTTGAATAGGGTGTCTGTGTCTCCGGTCGAAACATCCTCATCACCCTCGCTTACTAATGTAAAAGACGCGTCCGTATTCTCTCTTATAAAGCGATCGAATCTAGGCACGACATTGCTAGTTTCAGGTTTTTCGTCAGCCGCGTTCCATTCGTCTACTATTAAACAAATGACATTTTTGTCTCGACTACGACGATGGTGGTGGTGGTGGTGACGACTCTCATGCTTATGCTTCTTGGATTTAGATTTATGTTTTGACATAATTTTTTTTTCTTTTCAGTGATATTACTTCATTTTCATTTTTTTAACCATCTAGCAGTTCTTTATTTATTTCAATCTTTCGAACCATTCTAAATAATCGCATATATTATGATGGACGTCTTTATATTACAATATATTCATAAACATGTCGTGCATTCTCGGATTTGGAATGGTACTAAGTTGAATTACGTCTTTTAATACAGACAAAGGGTCTAAGTGCAACATGATGCTAAGTTTGTGAACGCATGCCGTGAAAAAAGTCAAGGAACTCGTTGTACTTACATTCAAAACATTGATAGTTTCACAATATATTCGAGTTTCTATGTTTGGGTACGGCGAAATCCAAATGGGGGAGTACCTCGGTATCACGGAAAAAAGAACACATTTGTTATGCCGATAAATTCTATAATCTATATACTTGCATATAATGTCGAAATACCAAGGCAGAGTCGAACGCTGGGGCGAGACTGACCCCGCTCGCCTTGCGGAATCCCTTATGTACCCTCGTGGGTTTCTGGATCGTTCGGCATAGAAGGTTCGGCGCGTAGAACATTCTAACCTCGAATCAACCAAACGGTTCTCGAATTCACCAGAACATCACATTACAGTGTCAAAAAAATGTGTAGCCGAGGCCAGGAATCGAACCCTGGCCTTCTGCGTGGAAGGGAAGGGCGATAACCGTTAGGCCACGCGAACGCTGCCTACTTGGTCAGCTGCGCGCGCGGCATTAGTCCCCCCCTTAAAGAGTGCATCGTCCCGATGCAACGCAAAAACTAAACAAAGCAAATAAAAAGAACGGTAAACTAAAGAGTCATTTGGAACACATAAGGTCCACAGTCCTATCGAGCGTAGTGCGGCTTCAGTCACACGACGTGGACGACTTCCGGTCGTGGAGGACGGCGTGACGAAGTCCGTGTTCCGTCGGGCATCACCTCGTAGGCCAGATCCCCGAGTCGACGAAGCACTTTGTAGGGTCCAAGGTAACGTTTCAGGAGTTTCTCGCCGAAACCGCGGCGGCGAATCGGTGTCCACACCCACACCCTCTCTCCAGGCTGGAAGTGAGCCTTAATCCGGAGTCTGGCGAGCTGACGGACTTCTTCTGCCCTTTGGGCAACCTGGGCGTCGTCGCTTGTGTCGACAGCCGGTTCGTGGGGTAACATGGCGTCCAGCATTGCCGTTACCTTGCGCCCATGCACCAGTTGAAAGGGTGGCCTTCCGGTGGTCTCTTGTACGGCCGTGTTGTAGGCAAATGTGACGTACGGCAACACCTCGTCCCATGTCTTGTGCTCCACGTCGACGTACATGGAGATCATGTCGGCGATGGTCTTGTTGAGTCTCTCCGTTAGCCCGTTGGTCTGCGGGTGGTACGCCGTGGTGCGACGATGGCTGGTGTAATGGCGCGTTCACACTGGAAGCGGATCCGCGCGTTCTCAACCGCAAAGCGGCTAGGATCGAGCGGTTGGAGCGCGTTTTTGCCAACCGCTTCGGGACCGATTTCTCCCAACCGCTTTTACGAACCGCAAAGCGGCAACCAATCACAACGCGACGCTGACGTGACGTTGGTGACTTTCGAAACAAGATGGCACCTGTCGCTGGTGAGGCGTCCAAGGCGCTGTAGTCCTAGCGATGTAGTCTTAGCTTTCGACAAATCAACGGAGAAACTTGATGCTCACGCCCGTCACTTGAATCCGCCGCGAAAAGAATTTACTCGGTAATTTTAACGGACTTTGCACCAGTGATTTGGTTCGGGTAAGAGTTTGTTGATTATTCGGGGTGCCACAGCCCAAGCTCGTTGCCTTTTTAATCTCTGCCTGTAGAACGTCGGAACCCGCCCCTGAACGACCGAAATGTCAGCTTTTCGACCCACTAGGATAGTCGCGTGAACTATTGAAAGCTTTCAACACTGTGCATGACCACCACGAAGGCCGATAGAGACGTCGTGAGCTTGATTGCGTAGCCAACGCACTACCGCGGAGGGGGCAGAGTACCTGCCCCAGCTCGACCTGTAACGTTTACTACTAAAATAAATAAATAAATAAAGAGAATCCTACTCAAAGAATGAATTGTACGTACCAGACAATGCAGAGGTAATCCATACGGCGTTTATTTGAGCTTAATGTCAAACAAACAGTAGACTCGATCGACCTGCGAGAGACGAGAGGAGAGTCCGCCACCAACGAAGCCACGACCGGCTAGCACCGAACACATTCCCCCGCACCACGGTCCACCCCACCGCTCACAACTTCGAAAATGATAAGAGCGAACAACAATGAGGGGGGAAAACTGGCCCTCTATCCCGAACACAAGGTCAGCTATTCACGCGGGAAGGGTCCACTTCGAAGAAAAGGTCGGGGGCATCCTGTTCTGAGTCAGCAAGGCGCGCCTAGCTGGACTTTGCTTGTGGGCGAAGTCGAGGGAATCACAGGCGAGTTTGGCGGGTCTGTGCTTCTTTTTTCGCTGCCTGAACTCGTGATGCGCGTGAACATCACGGAGACAAATATTCCGAGTGCCATAATAGCAAAAGTTTGGCTTTGGATTTTGAATTAAAGTGGATTTTGGATTGTAAAACAGGGTTGCCAAACACAAGTCTCTAGGGATCACGCGTGATCGCCGAGAAACCGCCAACCGGCTCTCGGTGTGTCTGAATGGGGTCACTCACGAACCGCATCCGCGACCGCTTCGCGAACGCGGATCCGCTTCCAGTGTGAATGCTCCATAACTGAGACGGAGGACTTCTTGCGTCAGCTGGGCCATGAATGATGATCCACGGTCTGAGATCAGGACTTCGGAAGCGCCGTGCGGGAGGACGATGGACTCGATGAAAAACTTCGCGACTTCAACAGCCGTTCCTGATGGAAGGGCTCTTGTCTCGGCGTACCGCGTGAGATAATCGGTCGCGACGATGATCCATCGGTTTCCTTTCGTCGACGGTGGGAAAGGTCAGAGTAAATCCATACCGATTTGCTGGAATGGGGCAGATGGCGGCGCAATAGGCTGAAGAAGGTCCCCTTTTGCGCCGGCTTCTTCGGAGAGGATAAGCCGAGATAATCCCCATTCTGAGCGACGGGTGATGGGTGTGGCCGCAGGGACCTCATGACTTACAGGTATCTTCAGCTCCTATCGCGTAATCTACCCGAATATATATATATATATATGTATATATATATATATATATATTTTTTTTTTTTTTTTTTTTTGGCGCTAGTTCAGCCTAGTTTTTCGGGTGTAGGCTTTGCAAAGCTGCAAGGCTGCGCCCTCGCAGTCACCGAATTTGAGCTGTCGAAGTTGTTTGGTTGGGTCACTACCAGTTCGGCAGGCCCTCGCGGAAGGGCCAAGCGTGGATTAGGGCCGAGCGAGCCGGAACTGCCGAGTGCGAAAGGGCCGGGAGGGGTGTCAAGGCCGAAAGAGGGGGGAAGGCCGGGCACGGTGGCAAGGCTAAGGGAGGCGAAAGGGCCGAGAACGGGTGTGGGGATTAAGGCCCGTTCACACTTGCGACTTGGGACAGTCGCTGGAGCAACTGGCGACAAGCGACTGGCGACCTCCAGTGTTCACACCTGATTGAGCGACCGACGAGTCGCCAGGCTCGCTGCCAACTTAACGGATAGTAATCAACACCTTTTCGAGCCGGCTGAAAGGTTTTTCTGATCAAAGGTACCGGCAGGATAAAACAAGAAAACGTAATGGTGCTTCGGAACGTAAAACAATGGGGGGGAAGAGAGGCGGGGGGTGCTGTTTTTTCATTTTTTTTGCCCGATCCCCCAAAAGTAATCCTGGTGATAGTTAGGGGGAGAAAATTGGCTTAGAAGGGAGGGAGGAATAACGTTTGTCTTTTTAGACTTATAGCTTCGTCCCCCTAGAGCGACAAACAGATTTTTGTCTGGAAACACCGCAAAGTTACGTGTCGCGGATGCTGTCCCACTGTAACAGCCAACACTTGCGGCAAACAATCGACGACGGACAGGTTCCTGCTTGTCCTTGAACTTGAAGCGCCGCAAGCAGTCCCACCGAGGAACATCTCTCAAAGACAAACTTATCCTCTTCACCCACTTGTAACCTCGGCTGCCTCTCTTCCTTCCCTTTTACCCTTCCTCCCGTAGCTCGCCTCACCGTTTGACCTTCAGAGAAGGCCTTGGCGGCCACTGATCGTTCCCGCAGTTCCAGTTCCTCGATTGCTCGTGGGGGTCGTGGGTTGCTCGCTGGCGGCCTTGTTGCGAAAGAGAATTTGCTGCGACTGGTTTTGCTCGCGTGATGGTGCTTCAAAACAGTGTTGCGGAATGGGCACCCCAATTCCATTTCAATTCCATTCCGGGAATTAAGAGTTTTCAGTAATTCAATTCCTTTCAACTCCTAGGAATGGGGACACTGGGCCCATTCCCACTCCTGGAATGGCTGAATCGTTCCATTCCATTCCTCCAATTCTTAAACATAAAAATTGACACTTGACAGCTGCATGACACTTGACAGCTGCATTGCGTTGCAGGGTCGGGCAGAAATAGTCAAAAAATGTATTTGAAAATAGAAATACTGGGATAGAGGAAAATAGTAGCTAAAATACTGATACTCAAATATATCTGTAAAAATGTATCGTGATACGTATCGGAAATACATTTTATAGAGTCGAAAAGTCTTTGGAAAATCAAATACAGGAATACATTTTAGGGAGGGCAGATATATAAATACTGATAATGCAATACATTCTTCGAATTTCTTTGAGACGCCAACTGAGATGAAGCTTTAAGTTTGAAGTGGAAAATTTTTTTTTTTTTTTTTATCCCGAAATTACTTTTTCGCAGGCTTGGCGCTTCGCCTTGAAGGTAGTGGTTCCGGACGAAGAGGAGTCTTCAATGGGTTCAAAAAACTTTCCATCAAGGATTGACCGCGGCCCCTTCCCTAGCATCCTGTCTGCCTGACCAGTGATGCGAAAAGACTTTGACCTCTAAATAAATTCCATCAAAACATCATCACTTCCCTGTCCAATAAGGGCGTTCCTGTCAACACTGATCAGATGATGTCACGGCGGAGTGAACTAGTATTCTTGTATCTGTAGGTGT